TGATGCTCAGATCGAGGCTATGGAGGAAGAGCACCGGAAGAGTGAGCATATTATGGATCAGGTGACTTCCTTTGATTATGATATCCGAGGGTTATTGAATCCTCATCAAAGCGTATAGGTTCTGTATTGGGGCGGTGTGCGTCAAATTTTGATGGAGGAGGCGCATAAGTCAAGGTTCTCCATTCATCTCGGGGCGACAAAGATGTTTAGAGATCTTTGTCTTGATTATTGGTGGCCCTGCATGAATCGTGATGTGGCTTGGTATATAGAGAGGTGCTTAACTTGCAGGAAAGTTAAGGCCGAGCATCAGCGACCTCATGGCAAGATGCAATCGTTGGATATTCCCATTTGGAATTAAGAGGAGATTACCATGGATTTCATTACAAAGTTGCATCGAACTGCGCGCGGAGTGGATTCGATTTGGGTCATCATGGATCGATTGACCAAGAGCACGCATTGTATCCCGATTTAGGAGTATCTCTACGGAGAAGTTGGCTGATGTATACATCAGGGAGATTGTAGTACAGCATGGGATGCTGGTTTCGGTGGTTTCAGACAGGGATGTTAGGTTTACATCTAGATTTTAGAAGTGGTTCCATGACGAGGTGGGTACTAGTCTCGATTTCCGCATGACATTCCATCCACAGACTGACGTGCAGAGCGAGCGGACTATTCAGACCTGGGAGGATATGCTTCGGGCGTGTGTTTTTGATATCAGTGGGAGTTGGGGTAGGTATCTTCCGTTAGCGGAATTTTCGTATAACAACAGCTATCATGCCAGCATCGATCGACCTCTTTTTGAGATGCTTTATGGTAGGAAATGCAGGACCCCGATTTGTTGGATTGAGGTCGGTCAGCGAGTCATGGGGAGTACCGAAGCGGTACTCAAGACCACTGAGTTGATCCAGCAGGTTCGGAGTAGACTCTGGACGTCTCAGAGTCGGTAGAAGATCTATGCCGCCAACCGATGATTAGATCTAGAGTTCTAGGTGGGGGATATGGTTATCCTGAAGATATCACCTTGGAAAGGTGTCATCTGATTTAAAAATAGGGGAAAGCTTGGCCCCAGGTACAACGATCCTTTCATGGTTTTGGCGCGGGTGGGCCGGGTTGCTTATCACTTGGATCTTCCCGAGGAGCTCAGTCAGATCCATAGCACTTTCCACGTCTCTCAGTTGCGGAAATGTATAGTGGATGATTCAACGGTGGTACCATTGGGGGATATTCAGGTGGATAATCGCATGAATTACATCGAGAGACCGGTAGCGACTCATGAACGGAAGACAAAAAATTTGAGGAACAAGGTTGTTGCGTTGGTGAAAGTCCAGTGGTAGCATCGCAAGGGTTCAGAATGGACATGTGAACCGGAGAACGAGATGAGGGAGCACTACCCAAAGTTATTTGAGGCAGTAGACTTAATGGACGAAGTCTGATTCAAGTGGGGGAGAATTATAACACTTGAGTTTTTGGTAAGTTTCCTTTTACCCCCTTTCATGTAAATTCTTTTCATATTCGGTCCTTGGTTAGTACGCGGGGCGTACTCTATGCGTACGCTTAGCGTACTAGCAATAAGTTGTTTGCGGGGATCATCTACGTACGCTGGGCATACATGGGAGTACGCAAAGCGTACGCATGAATTGAGCATACCCTAAATTTTAGGTTTTGTACCCTATTTAAGCACCATTATACCACCTGCTAGACATTTTAGACCAGCCTCCATCCCCCTTGACCTAGAAACGAAACCCGAAGTGTGTTAGTGAGTTTTTGAGCTTGATAAAGAGATTTTTGGTGTCTTAAGGTGAAAAAGAAGAAGAGAAACCCTTGGAGAAGTAGATTGAGCTTGTGGATCCAGGATCACCTTCTCATTTGCTAGCTTTTTTAGGTAAAAAGCTCACACCTTTATGTTCATTTATGATAAATATCATATATGGTGTTCATTGGTCATTTTTGAGTCTTTTGAAGTAAAGATGAGCCTTTGATCTACTCCAGAAGTATTAGATGCTAGAACTAAGCTCCATTCAGGCCCTATGTTCATAAAAATGCAAACTTTATGGATGTTTTTGGTTCATGCAAGTATTAAGACCTTTATTAAGTTGTTTTAGAGCCTTGTGTCCCAATAAGCCAGGCATGAGTGTAAAGTTGCCAACTTTACATGATAAGTGGCCTTATAGAATCAGATCTGGGAGTTTGGCACTTTGTCTTGACCGATTAAGTGCTTAATGTGAGGTTTAGGTTGTCTGGGGAGTATGTTGGGCATACCCAGTTGGTACGTTACGCGCACTGACCCCGGATGGAGTACGCTTAGCGTACGAGCTGAGTACACCCCGCTTACTCAGCAAGTGGGCTTTTTGGGCTTGTTGATCTCGTTTTGGGCCATAACTTGGGTTTGTAAGTTTAGGCCTTTTTGGGCCATCAGACTTCTGTTTTCGACTTTGGCTAGCATGTTGGGCTTCCTTGGATTTAGGTCTGTAATGGGTCTTGGGCCCAATTTGGAAGATTGAGCCATAATTTGGGCCTTGGGTTGCTATTTAGGATTTGGCCTTTTGAGTAGTTGAATTGGGCCTTGGCCTTGGGCCAAGTTAGATAAAGGGTAAAATGGTATTTACCCTAGTTATGGGCCAAGTAGCTTAGACTCTTAGTTATGGGTCGAAATTCGTTTATTAATTGTGTGTTATTTTGATAATCATAGCGCGGGGATTTTCGGACCAACAGTCACAGAATCAGTTGAGTGATTCAGCAGCTAGATGTGAGTTTCCTCACTGTGTTTAGCGGGTCGAAGGCACCAATGTCGACCCATGGTTTATTATGTTAGGATGCTAGATGTTTACGTGACTCTTGCATGTGTTATGTGCTTGTATGCTTACCGGGCAAGGCCCGATGACTATCATGTATGCTATTATCTTTGTGATTATCGCATGTGTTGGTATGGTTATATGTTTATATGTTTATATGTATACCGGATGGGGCCTGATGCCAGGCAGGGCCTGATGACTGACAAATCTGTATACCTAGCGGGGCTCGATGTCGGGTGGGGCCCACTATGTGCTTATTATGTATGGTATGTTGCATTTTGGGGAACTCACTAAGATTTGTGCTTTTAGTTTTAAGTTTATGTTTCATGTACTTCTGGTTCGAAAGGGAAGAGCTCGTGATGGTTGCAGTGCACACACCACCTTGTTCCACATTTTTGTGATTACTCTGATGTTTCATGATGAATTTGATACACTTTGTTCTATCTTGGTTTTATGATGATGTTTGGATTACAGTTTGAGTAATTAAAAAACAAAAATTTTTGGTCTTAATTTTTGGGACGCTACACTTGATTTGGGTATATTATGATCTGAAGCATTTGGTTTATGATTTGTGATTCGTTTTTTCATTAGGTTGGTGATTCAACTTGCAAAATCGAATTTTAGATATTAGGATGTGAATCATTTCGTTTATAATCTGTATTTTTGATATCTGTTTTTTATTTTTATTTTGATTTTGAGATTTGAATTTCATATATTAGGTTTGTATTAGTTTGATTTTGAGGTTTGTACTGATATGATTTTAAAGTTGTACTCGTAGTGGTTGTCGGAGGTCAATTGGTTTCCGGAGGTCAATTGGGTGCCAGTGTGGTGGTCGGTGATGAATTGGGCATACGGGATCTTGTACTGATATGGTTTTTTTTTATGTCTGTGAGGGACCTAATGCATAATAAAAATACATTCTAGGGACCGTCCGAGTTAAAGAAATAATTTAGGGACCAAACGTATAAATTACCCTAAACCATAAACATCATTCGTGTATTTACTTCTGAAACTATGCGACTTTTAGACCCAACCATAACAGCACTAAATGTAACTTCCTTCTTCTTAAGGGTAACTTCTTTATTAACTACATTAATTATACTACTTCATAATAATTTATGTATACATAAACATAACTAACATTTAACACAAACTAACTAACAATCTAGGTTAACTTCTAACGTGGTGTTGGTTATGTGGTTATGTTCACTAGATTATGGTTTTTTTTTTGAACCGGCACTAGATTATGGTGGATTGACTCTTTCATCTCTCAGGTCTCGTTTTTCTATATGTGTATATACTTATGTATGCTGAGATTAAATCCATTTGGTTCCTAATTGTGGTTTAATAATTTGTTTGTTTTCATGTGTTAAAAGGATTTGTGCTCATATATCTGTGACTGTAGTTTGTTCATGACTCTACGTAGTTTGTTCATGTCTGTTTGTGTTCATTAACCTGAATTTAAACCAAAAAAAACAGAATTTGATAGCTAGGCTTCATATTATGGGTTTATGTTAATGTCTATTTCCCATAGTTAAGCTCTAAAAAGAAAGACTGGTTTACAAGAAATTTTTGTGATTAGTAGTAGTTGTTGAGGGTAACCAAAAGAGATGGTGGTGAAGGGTCACCCAAAGAGACCACAGTGGGGTTGGGTGGGGTGTGGACCCTTTATGTTATTTTGTCCAATTTAAATAAGTAATAATTAAATTTTTAAAAAATAAATGAAATTAAAAAAAGGCAAAGTCATGTATATGCAACTTTTCTAAATATACCATGTTCCTCAAAAAAAAATTATTAGAGACTGAAGTTGTGGCCTTATAAGGAGCATTTATGTAGTTTTGTCAATTATTACTTGTCATTAAATTAAATGAATCCAGCTTATAAATGGGACAATTTAGCATGACCCTTTTCAATTTCATAAACGCTATCAGGCTGGCCAACTTCTAAAATTAACAGAATGAATATTAATGAATGGAATTTGACATAGATAACAAAATTTGAATCGGCAAAGATTCATCTAATTCCATTTTAGGTAATCACCAATGATACTATGTATTAATTACCAAGCATGTTTGTATATGTAAAACGGTGTATACGCAGATATTATTTTGATTATATATAGTTACCTTTATGAAAGCCACCGTTCACATGCACGCCATTTCTCTCATACATTTGTCTATATAACTGGAGCACACCCAAAGAAGATATATGGCTTCTTTTAGCTTTTACACTCTTCCCACTTCCACCTCCACCACCACCACCATCAAGAATCCCTTATTTTCTAAAAACTCCTCACACGTGAAGCACTCACATCGCTTCAAGTTTTCATGCAAAGCCGCCGCTGATAACAATGAAAAATCTGTCGAAAATTATGATACCCCAAAACTCATACTACCAAAATCTCCATCGCTTGATACGCAGAACGTTGACAGGAGAAACTTGCTCCTGGGACTCGGAGGTCTGTACAGCGCTGCCAACTTGACCAGCATTCCGTCAGCCTTTGGCGTTCCCATCCAAGCACCAGACATTATTTCAAACTGTGCTACTGCCACCATAAGGGGCAAATCATCAGAGGCTATAAGGGGATTAACTTGTTGCCCTCCGGTGCTACGCCCATCGGTCAAACCAGCAGATTACAAATTTCCACCCAACAAAGCGATTCGTCTTCGACCAGCGGGACAGAGGGTCAGTGAAGAATACAAAGAGAAATTTCGAAAGGCAATTGAGATAATGAAGGGATATGACGACGAAGACCCACACAGTTGGAAGCAACAAGCTAAAGTTCATTGTGCGTACTGCAACGGCGCTTACAATCAATTAAAAAGTGGTGCTGAGTTCGAGAAGTATATAATCCAAGTTCACAACTCATGGCTCTTCTTTCCATTCCACCGTTGGTACCTGTATTTCCTCGAGAAGATAATGGGAAATGTGCTCAAGGATGACACTTTCGCTCTGCCATACTGGAACTGGGACCACCCTACCGGAATGACTATTCCTGCCATGTACGAAGAAAAATTAAAAAGGCCAGATGGCGTCAAGGTTGGCCCTGAAGAAGGCACTAGATACAACTCTCTGTTTGACCCTTTAAGGAATGCATCACACCTCCCACCAACCCTCATTGATTTTCAATATTATCCTCTGAAACAAGAAGTTTATACTTGTGCAGAACAGATAGACGTTAATCTGTCTGTTATGTACTCTCAGATGATCGCCAACGCCCTTGATACAGAATCGTTCATCGGTGGCCCATTGGTGGCTGGTGACCCCGATAAACAACCAAAAAAAAAAAGGTGGGTCCATAGAGAATGGGGTTCACACGATTGCCCACCAATGGGTGGGTAACAATAGGTTGAATAACGGCGAGGACATGGGAAACTTCTACTCCGCAGGCTATGACCCTCTCTTTTACGGCCACCATGCAAACGTAGACCGCATGTGGAAAATCTGGAAAGGTATGAACAAGAGGACACACCTTGACCCAACCTCCGCCGACTGGCTAAATGCTTCATACGTGTTTTATGATGAGAATAGAGAGCTTGTACGTGTCTACAACCGTGACTGTGTAGACACTAGAAAGATGGGGTATGATTATGTAAGATCCGACATCCCATGGATGCGAAATCGACCTAATCCACATCCCAAGAAGGGAAAAGATGGAGAAAAGCCTGCAAAAACCAAGATGACAGTGAATGATCTCAATTTCCCAGTGAGGTTAAACCAGACATTGGAGGTTCGAGTGAATAGACCTGACAAAAATAGCGTGAAAGGGACTGAGAAGTTGGCTATTGAAGGCATAAAATATGATTGCGAGCGCTTTGTCAAGTTCGATGTCATTATGAACGACCCTAATAATGGAGTCGAAGTCACCCCAACGGACATTGAGTTTCTTGGTAGTTTCTCAGAGTTGCCCCATGGCATGGTCGCTGAGAGAAGAATGGATGAGACTGGTAGTGTATTATTTCCGCTCAAACAGCGCTTGGAAGTGCTACAAGCTCAAAATGATGATTTTATTATTGTGAAAATTGTGCCGAGAGCAGGGTGCCAGGATGTAACTATTTCGGAGATCAAGATTGTGCTGGATTCGGTCCAGGATGTACCTATTTCGGAGGAAGTTGTGCTGGAGCCAGTCGACCCTAGCTTTGAGTGAATTCAGTTTATTCACGTAACTGCATGCTTTTTCATTAGCATGCATGGCTAAGTCTGTTTTGTCATCTGTGTGTCTGGTTAACGAAGAGGTTGGCTTAACCTAATAATAAGTATTACCGTTCCAAGTTTATAGTGGTGTAACCGCTAAGCTTATGTTTGAATTTGAATTTTTCAGTAGTGTACATGGCTTTTGGATTTTAGTAAACTTGATCATATGCTCTATACGTTGCTTGCTAAATTTTATGTATTCAGTTGTAATATGGGGTACTATCTCTTATTTAATTGTTTTATATACTTACGTGGATCTTAGAGCATTGGGTGTGGGCAACTAGATGCAACAACAATTTGATGCCATCTTACATACATGCATGTCACATAAGCAATGGTGTTATAATATCAAACAAGGAAATGGTTTTCATATTATAACACCAATATTTTTAAGTCAAATTTTTCTTTTTGAATTTTTTTTTCGAGTTTTTTTTTTCGTGTTTCTTTTTTTTTAATTAATAAAACAAATATTTTAAAAAAAAAACATAATATTAAAAAAACTAAAAAAAGACATAATTTTTAAAAACTAAAATTAAGATTACGATAAAAAAACATTAGTTTTAAAAGATAACATATTTTTTCCTAGTCCTAATTAATCCAAATAACATCTAAATTAAACCTAAAACCATAAGATTTTAGTACTAATCCTAATTAACCCAAATACTTCTTCCTAATTTGATCATTCACCGCTTGTAGCACTGCTAGATCTTGAGGCGACAAACCATCCTCGTTAGTCCGAATAATTGACAATTGTTGTGTCATTAGTTCTCTCTCTTTTTGCTCCTGCTTCTCCGGTGCATGCCTTTTCTAGGAACTCCAAGTGTCATTAGTCTGAATAATTCAACTCATTTTTTTCTTTTTGTAGTAAATTGTGCTCATCGAATTTCACTTTCATTTACGCCGCATCTTTTGCTTTCGCCTCAACCTCCTCTACATGCCTTGCAGCGCGCCTCGCTTTGTCGCGTTTGGACGGTCATCGTGGTGGGGAGATCTCCTCAATATCATCCGGGATCTCATCGGTGTCGGCGTTTAGATCGATGTGAGTCTGTGCGTCTGACACGTCGACCGAGCTCGAATTTCAAGCCCTCTTGGATTGAACTTCCGACGATGTAGGAGTTTTATTCCACCTTGGATCCACTCGTAGCAACTCCCACGACTTCTCGAACTCGAACACGTGTCCCATTTCGACCCGATATTGTTCTTTTGCAGATTTGAACAAATCAAAGCTGGTTGCTCTGCTTTGTTGTTGCGCCTGAAGTCTGGTGTAAATACCATTGAATTTTGCGCACCGCTTAGTTATTTGACTTCATTTGCTGCTCAGCATGTCCGTATTGCGATACTGTTTTTGCTTGAACATAGCATGGAATTTTTCAAGCACCGCCCACCAATACGCACCTTTCTTCATACCATTACCATAGAGTTCGTCTTTTGAAGTAATACATCGTGCAGCCGTCAGAGCATATTCCTCCTCTGGTGTCCACCATTATGGAACTTCCTCACTTTCTGTGTCAACCGTTATAGCTTTCCCTTTCCCTATTCCTTTCACTTTCCCTTTCCCTCTCCTACCACATCCCGTTTGTGTTTCAATCGATGGTTGTGTTGGAGGTGGTGGTTGTGTTGGTGGTGATGGTTGGATGGTTGGTTGTTGCATCAAAAAGAAAGTCGGGAAAAGATTTTGTTGCAAATTTGGGTTTTGGCCAAAAGGTTTTTGTTGAAGGTAAGGTGAGTTAGGAAATTGCAGTGGTGGTGAAGCGAGATTGAAAGATGCTTCATGGTATGGGATTTGTGGTGATCCTTGAGACGATAAAATGTTGAAATAATTTCAATAACCGGCAAATCTGAAAGGCAATGCTGTATTTGGTTGTGTGTTTGTGTTTGATTGACGGGTGTTTGGGTTTTGATCCATTTTTTTGTTGAGAAGAATTTTATAAAATATAGAGATAATGAGAGAAAGGTGTAAAAAAACTGGGTTGTATTTATATAAAAGGTTAAGGGTAAAAGTCTTTTTTTAATTTACATTTTGACCGTTTGCAAACGGTCCATTGCACAACGGTTATTTTTTTCGTGTTTCAATCGGTCGTAACGAATGGGAGATGTGCTATACAGAGAAGAAACGAGCAAGGGGCGGTGTTTAGGTCGTTATGGCTTTGCCATGTCGGCCATAACGAGCACGAGATGGCCCATATCGCATCGTCTTATCTTTCTACATGAATAAAATTCTGCTGTCTATCGGTTTTGGACTTTTGGTTGGTGGCTCTGATGAATTGATTGAAGACAAGCTAATATATGTGTTTTTCCTTTTCAAATTAGTGGAGATTCTAAAGGTCAACTGTAAATACGGAATTTTAGTTGGTGGATTTGATGAATTTAGGACATCCACGATACATTAAATTTGTTAGAGTTTAATGGATTGATACATCTTCTTTTTACTTGTTATATAATTGTACATTAATTTTACTACAATGCATTGAACTCAATAGAGTTCAATGATATATATATATATATATATATATATATATATATATATATATATATATATATATATATATATATATATATATATACATATATATATATATCTATATATATAATAGTTAAAAACTTTCCTTTTTCTCATTAAAAAATTCAATTACCATTAAACTTCATATGTATTGAATCTAACATGACATCCAATAATGATAGAGTTTAATACATTGAATACCAATTAAACATGTCACCTCATTCAACTCTCCAATTGAATTATGCATTATGGATGCTCTTACTGAACACGTGCTAATACGTGTGTTTACTTTTTTTTTTTAAAGTTAATGGAATTTGTAACATACCACTGTAAAAATTAATATTTTTTATGTTTTAAATATCTTGTATTTCTTTTTTATTATTATACTGATGGAGGATTGTTGAGGTTTAATTGCCACCCAAGTATCAACTTATCTAATTTCCTCTAGATATATATAACACTAGGTGAATGCCCGCGCGTTGCGCAGAAACACTTTTATAGTTGAAATCTTTACAAATATATGTTTTTGTTAAATATAACAATAACGTTGTTCTTAAATTTGATATAATAATTTGTATACTAAATTGATATAATATATTGATTATTTTGAATTATATAATAATATATATACATCTATTATAACTGCATAATCTCAACCGTTTGGATGACTTCTACCCGCGAGTTACTCATTAATAAAATTATATATAATATATGGTTTAATGTTATTTATAGTTGTTATTGTTAATTAATTTTTTTAAATTTATTTTTTTAACGTTTTAATTTCATTATACTTATTTAAAACATCAAACATTGTTTTTAGATTTTAAAGGTAACAATATAATCATTTATATAGAGTTATATTTAACTATTGTTATTGTAAGTTATTTTTAACTACTTATTTAAAAACTTTTAAAGATTATACAAATATCTTTAGGAAATATTTTAGGTAAATTAAGATTATAATTTAGTTTTTGCATTTAACACTACAATTTATCACTTTTAACTATTCATAAAATATTCATTGAGTTTTTTAAGTGGAACATAAATTTATATTTAAATTGACACTATAATGTTATATTAAATTTACAATTTAAGTATATTGTCCAAACTGTTCAAAAATGGTAGTTTTAACTTGATAATGGTTTACATTCAACAACATCTTAATCTAATAAATTAAGTATAATCTGTTAAAAATTAAAAACATAACTTTATAAGTAGAACTAAAGATGTTATTTTAATATTGAAATTTAGTTTATTTATGATTACACTTTAGGTTTGATATTTATTTATCCTTATTAACCAACTTGTAATCATTATTAGAAAAACACTACAATTTATCACTTTTAACTATTTACAAATATGATTTGAGTTATTTAAGTTAAACTAAAATTTATATTTAAGTTGATCCAGTAATGTTATATTTAAATTTATAATTTAAGTATTTTATACAAATTGTTCACAAGTTGTAGCTTTAAAATGATAACGGTTTACACCCAACAATATATTAAAACTAATAAATTAAGTATAATATGTTAAAAGTTAAAAAACATAACATTATAAGAAGTAAATATATTCTTTTAATATTGAAATTTAGTTTGTATATGACTACACTTTATGTTTGATATTTATTTAATCTTATTAACCAACTTATAACCATTATTAGGAAGAAATTGAAAAGTCATGGGAGTTTCAAATGAATGTGGTGAAAGAAAAAATGCATGGGAGTTTCAAATGAATGTGGTGAAAGGAAAAATGATAGCTTTATAAGTATGTGGCGCAGAAACACATATATAGTCGAAATCTTTAAAAATATATGTTTTTATAAATATAACAATAACGTTGTTGTTAAATTTGATATAATAATTCATATACTAAATTGATATAATATATTGATTATTTTGAATTATATGATAATATATACATCTATTATAACTATATAATCTCAACCGTTTGAATGACTTTTATCCGCGAGTTACTAATGAATAAAATTAAATATAATATATGGCATAATGTTATTTATAGTTTTTGTTATTTTTAATTAATTTTTTCAAATTTATTTTCTAAACGTTTTGATTTCTACCATTATAATTATTTAAAACATCAGACATTGTTTTTTTATTTTAAAGGTAACAATATAATTATTTATATAGAGTTATTTTAACTATTGTTATTGTAAGTTATTTTAAGCTGCTTATTTAAAAACTTTTAACGATTATACAAATATCTTTAGGAAATATTTTAGTTAAATTGATATTATAATTTAGTTTTTGCATTTAGCACTATAATTTATCACTTTTAACTATTCACAAAATATTCATTGGGGTTTTTAAGTAGCACTGGAATTTATATTTAACTTGACACTATAATGTTATATTTAAATTAACAATTTAAGTATTTTGTCCAAACTGTTCCAAAGTTGTAGCTTTAAATTGATAATGGCTTACATACAACAA